AGTTAACAGTTAACATGTAACTATAATATAGGAGTAAAAGGGTGGGTGTGTACCCTGTACCGGCGCTCGTACCATCCCCCAATGAACTGCAAAACAAATGTTGTGTAGAGTAGCTTTTCTTTACAGCGATGTGGTTAAAATTATGCCCTGGTAATATTTCCAGTGTGGGAGCATCTGGGGACTTCACTGCCTTAGTCCCCTAACCTGGGGTTGAATCTCATGGACACCTTGTCTACTTATTTACATCTCTTATATGTAAAGTAGTTTTGACATTTAAATAAATCTTCCCAGTAATGATCACCTGTAATGAAAAAAAGGTCACCCTGAAGGTTATTCTGCCTGAGGCAGTTCAGAATGAAGGGAGTAACATCATCAGCCAATAAACATATCATTTACACTTATGTAACCTGTAAACTTAAATGAAATCAATGGAAGATGGGTCATTATCTTGAGATGGTTCTAAATAATACGAGGAACATACTGACTAAAGTTAATGACAGTATCATGCCTGTAGCTTTCCATTACCCAGCAAATATGATGCTGACACTGCTGTAAAAAAAATATTTTAAACTTCATGCAGTCTTTTGTTAACAGTTCAGAGGCTTCAATTACATTGGAATAATAACATTTAACTTTTTATTGGCCATGAAATGAATCCCAGGAATGCATAGATTATGAAAAACAAGTCAATACATGTCAAAGTTATCCACAATTTATTAATAATGAAATATACTGCATAGCAGCTTGATTGACTGCCATATTCCCATTTTAAAAATAAACAGAAATGCCTTAAATATAATATAAACCTTACATTATCAAGAAAACAAAAAAAACTATGGGAAATGAAATATTTTGTATTTTACAGTACAGTAGTACATGTAAGCTATTTAAGAACTAATACAAATTAACAAGAATACAATATATTGAGCCATAAATATTTTACAGAAAGCCTACATATATTTATGGTAGTGTGTTTTTTCAATCATTGGTTCTATGCAATGACAAGTAGATCTGAATCATAGCACAGTTCTTTTCTAAGATATAAGTTCTATAGTATTTTCTATTTTAACCTTTTGGTACTTGGAAAAAAAGCTATCCTAGCAAAAGCATTGACTTTAATTCTTTAATTGACTTTAATTCTTGTCATTGTTTTATTATTTTCAAATAGTTAAGACATGCTACATGTATTGCAGATATTACTATAGTCATTGAAATCTGTAACTTTTCAATGACAGCATAGGGAATGAAATATTACCTGTTCAAGGTCATAGAATATTAACTATTTAAGGTCATGTAATGAATGAAGGTCATACATAAAATAATTAAGTACCTATATGAATGAAATATTTATCTTTATAATTCATATTATAAAGTGTTGAAAAATATGTATATGAAACTTTATATTGACTTTTATATTAGGAAATATCTCAAAATTCTGAAACTTACAGAATTTACTAAATTAAATGATTGGATTAAAGTCTGCAGATGAAACTTTATATTATATCAGGAAATGTCTAAAAATAATGACACTTGCATACCTTCTCAATAGAAAGGAAAAAATGGATTAACTTGACAATTGTGATTTATTTCACAAGGCTGCTATATCATAAAGCCATAATATTCCCTGATGTTAGAAAAAAGAACTGGAATTATGTATTGGTGCGTATCAGTGTGGGGTGGGGGTAGGATTGTATTATAATTATGGAAAATTACTGGAAAATACTGTTTAAATCTTCCTTTTTACAAAAGATCATTACCAGCTAGTTTAATGTGTGCAATTTTGTAATAAATTTTGTAATATAAGCAATACTCAATTATTTGACAAGTACAGATATTTTTGTTTTTAAAACTAATTTTCTAATAAATGAAACTGTAATAATGATTCTACAAAGTTGACCAAGATCAACATGTGCAAAAATGACTCGGAAACAGCTCTGAACCTTTGAGGTTTATTCTAATGCTTACTCTATTATCTTTTGTCAAGTATTGTGTATGTGTCATTTGAACTTTTAAAATAGCTTTAACAATTTTCCAGTTATACTGCTAAAATGTCTGCATTGTGACAGTTTACAGTGATGTCTAGCACTGGGGCATCATGCTGCAGACATGTAGCATGATGTCCCACCCAGTCACATTATCCTGACACCAGGCCAACCAATCCTAACACTAACCTCTTAATGATGAGGGCAAAGCGAGGCAGCTGCTAGTATAATTTTTATAAGTTTTTGGTATGACTCAGCCAGAGTTCAAACCCACAACCCACATTCAAGTCAGACATCTTAACCACTTAGGCAACTGTAGCAGTTTTGGCAAGTATTAGAACTAAGCATGTACCCTCCCTGTATCATTTACCACAATCAGATGCTGTTACTGCCAACAATACATTCAACAATAAAACACTGATGATTTATTTTCTCAATGCTGACTATTGTTGTTGTTGTTGTTGTTGTTGTTATTGTTGTTGTTGTAGGGTTTAATGCCATTTTTCAGTACAAGATAGGCTATACATAACAGCCCATATAAACAGTGGAATAAGAACTGGGGAAAACCCCAGAAAGAACCACCAACCCACAGGCCGGCTTTCTCATGTACCCACACTGGCTGAGCCCGAGACTTGAACCCACTTAGACAGAATGAGATGGCAGTGATTGGTAATGGTAAGCCCTCCCAAAGCTGACTATAAAACACTAGATCATTCAAAAATGTTTAAATTAAAAATTTCAATTTCAATTTAAAAAGCGTTTCATTTATACATGCATTTGATAATAAATTTTCAGAAAATATTACAAGTTAAGAAAACTATCTAGAATTTTGTGATAAATTTATACATTAAAATCTTTGATTTAAAATGTATACACTAAAAAAGTATAAACATATTTCAGGTCATATATTATGCTGTATTTCAAACTTTTTAAAAATATTTCATATAAGAAAAGAATGATTTGTCATAAATTGAAAACTTAAATTGAAAACTTTGATTTAAAATGTGTACATGGAAAGAAAGTATAAACATATTTCAGGTCATATATTAAGCTGTTTTTCTAACTTTTTATGGAAATATTACATATAAGTGAAGAATGGTTTGTCATATATCTTTCTAGAAATTGGTAATAAATTTATACATTGAAAACTTTGAATTAAAATGTATACATGGAAAGAAAGTATAAACATATTTCAGGTCATATATTAAGCTGTTTTTCTAACTTTTTATGGAAATATTACATACAAGTGAAGAATGGTTTGTCATATATCTTTCTAGAACTTGGTAATAAATTTATACATTTAAAACTATGAATTAAAATGTATACATGGAAAGAAAGTATAAACATATTTCAGGTCATATATTAAGCTGTTTTTCTAACTTTTTATGGAAATATTACATATAAGTGAAGAATGGTTTGTTATATATCTTTCTAGAACTTGGTAATAAATTTATACATTGAAAACTTTGAATTAAAATGTATACATGGTAAGAAAGTATAAACATATTTCAGGTCATATATTATGTTATGTTTCAGACAGATGTATATACTTTGCTATCCTGATAATAGCTTGATACACTAACATTTTTGTGGAGTCTTCTGCAGTTCATATATTTCATGATTTGATCATAAAAGGGCACTTAGCAAAGAAAACTCACTAACTTTCTTAAAACTTACATAATTTTTGTAAACAAAATTCACACTTTTAATCAACAATGAAAGAAGGGCAGTTAAAGCAAAGTTATAAAAGTCACCAACCATCTTTGCATACATTTCATAGAATCAAGCCCACTAACCTTATTTAATGTATTCCAAAAGCACATGACCTACCTATTACAAAAATACAAAACAAATTTGTGTGTAAAACACAGTTGCCTCCCTCTGCTGACAGATCTAGAGGAATGATGAGCAATTAGTTCCCTTGACTAGAACTGTTTTTAATAGCTTTTACTGTGCACAAATTCTAAGTGATAGAGGAGTTGAATTAGTGAATGTAGAACCCATAATGAAGTGCAGAAAATTACTCTATATTATTTGAAAAAGTGACTGAATTGTACAGGAATTTCCGCATCTACCATTATCTGTAATGCATTCTATTTCAAAATGAAACTGATTCATACAGTTACTGCAAATAAATGAGCATATGTGATATTGAGGTTAATAGTTTTCATTTAAATTTGATGTGTACTTTTAGAAAACTGGACAGGTACACTTTAAGTTAATAAACAGTGCTAAAATTTAGCCTGGCTGTTTGCTAACATTTTCAACATCAATAAACTTCTATTATAACTCGTATTCAGAATACATTTTCAAGACAAACACACACAAACGCATACACACGCAGATAGAAAAGAGTACAGGATTAGATTTTGAATCCTTTGTAATAAATTTAGTCATAGACAGAAGAGTAATAGATAATTTCATTATTACTTTTTAAAGATTATAAAAATAAATAAATAAATGTCACAATTTGTATGTGCAGTATCATGTAACCCTATAAATGGGATTTTATCTCGTGGTGCAAACCCAAACACAGATTGTTTTTCTCGGCCATCATTTCATATTCAAATTAGAAAAAAACCTGCAACATTGCAATATAGTTAACACATTCAATAGGTACAGTATTCATCAGGTACTATTATTTCCTCTAATTTTGTATATAGGTTGTTTATTCTTATAATATTGTATGAAAATATAAATAATTACATAGTAGAATCCAACAATATTTGCTCATCTTAAAAAATTTAAAAAAAAGCAAAAGAAAACAACAATGTAAGTGTGATGTGATTGTGATTTTTAAAGTAGCTTTAACAATTTAACAGTCATATCGCTATGATGTCTACAGTGTGGCAGTTTATAGTGATGTTTAGCACTGGCGCATCATGCCACAGACATGTAGCATGATGTCCCACCCAGTTACATTATCTTGACACCAGGCCAACCAGTCCTAACACTAACCTCTTAATGCTGAGCATCAAGCAAGGCAGCTGCTAGTACCATTTTTGTAAGTCTTTGGTATGTCTCGACTGGGGATCGAACCCATAACGTCCCGCATCAGAGGCTGGTGCTCTAACCACTAGGCCACTGGAGCGGTTACAATGTAAGCATAATGTGGTAGTTGTTCAGAGAGTTAAATTATTGCCCATTTTGTCCCATGTGCATCCACATGTATTACAGGGGATAGGGGTTTTTTTTGTTTAGTTTTATGTTCTTGCTGTTGTTTTTAGATTTTAAAACTTCATCTGGCAAAGCAGAATATGACAAAGTGTTACTTCCCATGAAAATTATTTTCTAGAATGAGGACACAATGACTGAGACAACCAGACTGAGAAAATAAAGTAATGTTAATAAATCTGTAAGATGATTTGAATGGGAAGTGCTAAGTGAGAAAAATAATCTGTTTTGCAGTTAGCATTGATGTGAAAAACCAATGTTCTTTATAAAAAAGTTTATGATATTATAACTGTACAGTCATTCTTGATGCTTAATAAATGAACAGTGAAACAAGTTTACTAAAGCCCACTTAACAAAATGAAAAATAATCACAACAGAAGGGAAAAAATATATGGTGAAAAAAAATGGTCAGAAATTGTACACCTTGTTTGACAAGCACCATGGAGATTTTCAGCTCAGCTGACATAGTAAGATCATAAATGTATAAATATGAAACAAAGATTTATTATTCAGTATATTATTGCATTCATTCTAAACAGGCAAATTTAATTTAAGTTTTAAGATGTATAACTTAGGCAAATACTAACTTAACTACAATTCTACATTTCTAAAATCTGTTTGTTACATGCAGTTGATCTCATTTAATTGAAATACATAAATTATATTGTTTGATTTAATTATTTAGGAATACAAATATGATACAGCCATTAATTAATGAACATAAAATCTACATCTAGAATGCTTTAAAAATTGACATATTTAAAAAAAATGTCTAAAAAATCTGTGCCAAAATTAAAAAGCAAATTGCTTTGAGATAAAACATTGGACTATAAATATATTATTAACCCAAGTACTTGTTGGTGTTGTAATGTACTGGAAAATTTTTAAAAGATGTCAAACATTTCTGCAATACATAAGAGTAACAATCAGTGTAGCTATCTAAATATAAGTTGTTGTTTTCTTTATTAACTTACTCCAGTAAATTAGAAAAGAAAGCAAGAACAAGACAAATATCACTGAGACTCATTTGATATTCCTCAAATACTGCAAATGGCATTAATCAGAGATCTCGGAAACGCTTAATTATGCGTATTTTGACGCAAAATTTTTATTTGGGATGCAGAAAATCACCCACACAGGAGTTCTCCGTACGTACGTTTTTGTTGCAAGGAGGAAAGTTTTGCTGCAAAATCAATATGTTCTAATCACTATGAAAACTGAAGCAATGCTTTTATTTTAGTTTGTTGCTGACTTCTTTGATCAAAGGTCACCGGCTTGTTTTGATGAAGGTGCATGTGTTATTAAAGGTGCTGCTAAAGGCTTCCTTTGAGGGACAAACAAATACCCATTTGTTATTGCTGCGGCAACATCAAATGAATTGTATAACATGGACACAATTTTTTAAAAAAAAATCCTTTATAGTATATATCGGTGCTTCAGAGGTAATCAGTTTTCATTGAAGTTGCAGCAAAACTATTTTTCTGTTTTTTTATTGTTTAAATTGCTGTTGTGTGGTAGAATGTAGTCATTTCATGTTTCCTCCCTCAGAGGTGGTCGATTGTAGCTAGTCAGTTGCATGGCAAGTTTGATTAGATTATAGCATACAAGTATCAAGGCCAGATATTAGCATAAGCGGATTATGACATAACAATTAACTGTTAGGGTGGTTTGTGAATATCAAATAAGGATTTGTTTATGTAACAATTGATTTCAGTGCATTTTGATATCCAAGTTTGCGGCTTCCTGTCATGGTGCCTTTGAATTTCGCCACTCCAAAACTCAAGACTGTATATACCGTTTTTATCAGCCAAAGATGTTGTAGCCAAAAATATGGCCACATGGTATATTTTATTGCTAATATGTAAAACATAACTGCAAAATGTGCAGCCCAGCGCAGTCACTGTTATCGATTTCATTTCCGGTTGTTGCTGTATAAATATTGCATGTGAATTTGAAATCAAGAGACTTGGACAAAATGCTCTTTGCAAATTTAGACAAGTGTTTTGTAGCTAAATGGAAAAATGATGAATATTTCAATGAGATTCAGAACTGTGCTAAAGTTGCTATAACTGATAGTTCAGATGTGACCATAGCCAAGCGTAAGAAAGTACGTGATTTACGGCTTAGTGGGGACTGCAACTTTTGCTGTAGGACTCCTATTTTTACCAACTTCAGAGTCCTGGACTACTAGTTTTAAAATCATAGCGAGACCTCTAATTAATGTCATTAGGGGTAAACAAAACTATAAAATACATACACATGCATTAAATGTGGCCATGTATATTAGTAACAAACTTTTATCCTGCTGTGTGTGTTTGAGGAATGGCAAGTCTGAGTCATAAATCTGGTCTGAAGCCAGTGGTGATGGGTTTGAGGTCCAATGATACGAAAATTGTTTATAATTTCCAATGCCTTAGTTAAATAACAAAGTTTCATGATACAGAACAAACACTGGATCTCTTCTAATCACATATAATAAATCAGATATTCAATGGGACTTGAAACTGTAACATTAGTTAGACGCATGAAATAGCAGGAACATAACCTAAAATCTGACGATATCAACTCATTCATTTTCATTTGTGGTCAAAATTTATAATTATGTTCTCTTTACATGATGCTGAAACTTTTACAAAGTAATGTTTAACATTAAATCATGAATTTAAAATTGCAGTTAAGATAAATGTGTACAATACACAGCTGGTAATTATCTGTTATATGGAATTCAGAATTTCATCACAAGTATGATTATCTGCATTCAATCACATCCTCAACAATTTTGCATAATCGCTCAATGGATAAATTCCATAATCTCTCAAGGGAAAAATTGCATAATATCTCAATGGATAAATTCCATAATTTCTCAAGGGATAAATTCCATAATCTCTCAAGGGATAAATTCCATAATCGCTCAATGGATAAATTCCATAATCTCTCAAGGGATAAATTCCATAATCTCTCAATGGATAAATTCCATAATCTCTCAAGGGAAAAATTCCATAATCTCTCAATTGATAAATTCCATAATCTCTCAAGGGATAAATTCCATAATCTCTCAAGGGATAAATTCCATAATCTCTCAAGGGATAAATTCCATAATCTCTCAATGGATAAATTCCATAATCTCTCAAGGGATAAATTCCATAATGGCTCAATGGATAAATTCCATAATCTTTCAATAATTAAATTCCATAATCTCTCAAGGGATAAATTCCATAATCTCTCAATAGAAAAATTCCATAATCTCTCAATGGATAAATTCCATAATCTCTCAATGGATAAATTCCATAATCTCTCAATGGATAAATTCCATAATCTCTCAATGGATAAATTCCATAAGTTCTCAATGGATAAATTCCATAATCTCTCAAGGGATAAATTCCATAATCTCTCAAGGGATAAATTCCATAATCCCTCAAGGGATAAATTCCATAACCTCTCAATGGATAAATTCCATAATCTCTCAATAGATAAATTCCATAATCTCTCAATGGATAAATTCCATAATCTCTCAATGGATAAATTCCATAATTTCTCAATGGATAAATTCCATAATCTCTCAATAGATAAATTCCACAATCTCTCAATGGATAAATTCCATAATCTCTCAATGGATAAGTTCCATAATCTCTCAATGGATAAATTCCATAATCTCTCAATGGATAAATTCCATCATCTCTCAAAAGATAAATTCCATAATCTCTCAAGGGATAAATTCCATAATCTCTCAAGGGATATATTCCATAATCTTTCAATAATTAAATTCCATAATCTCTCAAGGGATAAATTCCATAATCTCTCAAGGGATAAATTCCATAATCTTTCAATAATTAAATTCCAAAAACTCTCAAGGGATAAATTCCATAATCTCTCAATAGATAAATTCCATAATCTCTCAAGGGATAAATTCCATAATCTCTCAATGGATAAATTCCATAATCTCTCAAGGGATAAATTCCATAATCTCTCAATGGATAAATTCCATAATCTCTCAATGGATAAATTCCATAATCTCTCTATAGATAAATTCCATAAGCTCTCAATAGATAAATTCCATAATCTCTCAAGGGATAAATTCCATAATCTCTCAATGGATAAATTCCATAATCTCCCAATAGATAAATTCCATAATCTCTCAAGAGATAAATTCCATAATCTCTCAGTAGATAAATTCCATAATCTCTCAATGGATAAATTCCATAATCTCTCAAGGGATAAATTCCATAATCTCTCAAGGGATAAATTCCATAATCTCTCAATGGATAAATTCCATAATCTCTCAAGGGATAAATTCCATAATCTCTCAATGGATAAATTCCATAATCTCTCAATGGATAAATTCCATAATCTCTCAATAGATAAATTCCATAATCTCTCAATGGATAAATTCCATAATCTCTCAATAGATAAATTCCATAATCTCTCAAGGGATAAATTCCATAATCTCTCAAGGGATAAGTTCCATAATCTCTCAATGGATAAATTTCATAATCTCTCAATAGATAAATTCCATAATCTCTCAATGGATAAATTCCATAATCTCTCAAGGGATAAATTCCATAATCTCTCAAGGGATAAATTCCATAATTTCTCAATGGATAAATTCCATAATCTCTCAATAGATAAATTCCATAATCTCTCAATGGATAAATTCCATAATCTCTCAATAGATAAATTCCATAATCTCTCAAGGGATAAATTCCATAATCTCTCAAGGGATAAATTCCATCATCTCTCAAAAGATAAATTCCATAATCTCTCAAAAGATAAATTCCATAATCTCTCAATGGATAAATTCCATAATCTCTCAAGGGATAAATTCCATAATCTCTCAATGGATAAATTCCATAATCTCTCAAGTAAATAAATTCCATAATCTCTCAATGGATAAATTCCATAATCTCTCAATGGATAAAT